GGGCCTCTTGGGGGCCTCTTGGGGGCCTCGTGGGGCCGCTTGGGGGCCTCTGGGGGGCCTCTTGGAGGCCTCTTGGGAGCCTCCTGGGGGCCTTTTGGGGCCATCTTGGTGCCTCTTGCGACCTCCTCAGAAGCGCAAATGAGAGCTGCCCCCTGAGAAGGACAAAATGAGCCCAAAACCTCCGTAAAATCAATGATTTTGCTATGAAGGACGAGGAGCGCTGCCCCCTCAGAAGGCCAAAATGGGGCCAAAACCCTCGTAAAATCGATGTTGTTGGCTTCACAGAAGAGGAGAGGGACTTATCTCAGCCCCCCCGTCGGGGCCAGAATCCTCGTGAGGGTCGTCGTTTTTTAGCCCTCCCAGGAGTCGAAATTGACCCCCCTGACGACCCGCCGGACCCCCTCTCCAGGCCCAGGGGGAGGGGGTAGGGGGAGGGGTAAACCCCTCCCCGAAGGGGAAGAAGGGGGGTTGAGGACAGAGCGGGCTCTCTAAACCACTCACGCCCATTGCTTCTTCTCTACACGCCGACGCGTTGCATAGTGGATCTGGAATTCTAAAGAGAACCCCATCGTGTTATGTGGAATCGGGCAGTAGGGAGCTGCATTCATTGGAGGAGGAGGTGGCGGATGAGCAGGAGGATGAGCAGGAGGAACATGGCACGTAGGAAGGAAGGAAGAGGACGAGGACGAACAGCAGCAGCAGGAACTGAAGCGAAAGGAACGGGAGGAGAAGGGGGACCAGGGGAAGGTGGAGGAGGGGAAACGAGGAAAGCGAAGACGATGACAAAGGATTTGGATCCAGAAAGTTGCCCGCGTTGGGGCGAGAGCGCATTTCTGAACGACAGGAGCAAAGCGCCGATCCGAAAGTGAGGCCCAGGAAGCAGCAGGAGCACTAAGTTCAAACACCGAAAACAAACGGATGATACAACACCAAGAGAACATATACCTTTGAGCCGGTGTTTCAGATGGCAGTGCGCAGAGAGGGCCGATGATCTTCTAGACAGAGTCAGGAGAGAGAGATAGAGGGTGGCGAGTAGTACTCGTAAGGTGTAATACTTGAACGACTGTTGAGGAAAGAGGAGGGAGGAGGGAGGAGCAGCGACGACGACGGCGACGGAAGTGATGATGACGACGATGATGCTGGTGGTGATGATGATTACGATGGTGATGAAGACGATGTTGATAATGATGTCGGTGTCGAGGTCGATGCCACTGTCGATGTCGGTGGTGGTGATGTTGATGACGGTGAGGATGATGGTGTTGATACCGATGATTACGACAATGATGATGAGGATGCTGCCGATGATGATGATGATGATGTTGATGATGATGATGATGATGATGATGATGATGATGGTGATTGTGATGATGATTGCGCTGATTGTGATGATGCTGCTGATGATGATGATGAGGATGATGATGATGATGATGATGCCGATGGTGATGATGATGATGACGATGGTGATGACGATGATGCAGATGCTGATGCTGATTGTGATGATGATGTTGCTGCTGCTGCTGCTGATGATGATGATGATGATGATGATGATGATGATGATGATGATGATGATGGCGGGAGTGGTGCTGATGCGGATGATGATGCGCAGGAAGAGGAGGACGAGGAGGAGGAGGAGGAGGAGGAGGACTGGAGTTACCCCAAGAGATATCAACGATGCTGCAAGACACCTCCTGACGCGCATTGTTTTCACTGCGGGATGCCCCCCCCCTCGAAAGACGAGCGACCCATGGGCCCCCAATCCTGGCTGGAACCCATGTTTAAACGAACGCCGCTCTCCATCCTTCTAGCAAGCAGGGATGTGACGAGGTGGGGTTTAAACATATAAGGAAGTGATCAGCGAAGGCCCCGCTTTCAAACATACAGTCGAACACCTGATTAAGAAGCGTCCTCCCGAAACGCTGGGGCAGCCTCTCTTGACCAACTTGCCGGGAAGCTGGCTAAGTTTCTTGCGCACGATCGCCTTTCAGCGTTAACAGAAACTGCTGGCTCAGGCTTGTGTCAAGAATTTTGCGGGAAGATGGCCCGTAACTTCACATCTGTGGTGATTTTGTTCGGAAGGTATCAGTCAGCAGCGCCGTGTTGAAAACGTGCCAGCCTCCATCCGTGTAGTTGTTCAAATTGTTCTTTAATGGTGTTTCACTAGAGGGTTCTTAACATAGATCAAATATTCCTCTCGCCAGAACCTCCACAAGGGGGGCCAGGATGAGGAGTCTCCCAGGCCTGGTGGCGGTCCGAAACGGTCCGGAATCTATTCACTATAGTGTTTTGGATCGATCTGGTTCAGACATGAGGCTCACTACGGTGTTCTGGCTCGATTTGGTCCAGAAGTGGTGCTCACTATTGTGTTCTTGCTAGATATCAGCCCCCCATATGTAGAACTGAAGCTCAGTGTGGTGTTCTGGTTCGATTCGGTCCGGAAGTGAGACCCACTATTGTATTTTGCTTGAATTTCATTTCTCCAGAATCTCCACAGGGGAGGCTGGGGGGAGGCGTCTCTGGTCTGGCGGTTGTCCAGAATCGGCCTCACTATGGTATTTGGGCTCGATCTCAGCCCTCGCAGATCCAGAAGTGAGACTCACCCTGGTGTTCTAGCTCGATTTGGCCAACAAAAATTGTATCCTGATTGTGTTCTAGTTCGATGCCAGCCCTCCCAGATCCAGAAATGAGACTGGTGCTCTAGCTTGATTTGGTTTAGAAATAGGGCTCACTATGGTGTTCTGGCAGATCCCAGCCCTCCCAGATCTAGAAATGAGACTCACTATTGTTTTCTGGTTCGATTTGGTGCAGGTCTGAGATTCACTGTTGTGTTCTGGCTCGAATTCCTGTCGCCCACATTTCCACAAGGGGGGCGAATGTTCTGGTTTATGTTAGTCCTCGCAGATCCAGACATGAGACTCACTCTAATGTTCTGGTTTCATTTGGTCGAGCAATGGGGCTCGCGATCGAGATCCAGAAACGAGGCCCACTACGGTGTTCTGGCTCGATTTGGTCCAGAAATGAGACTCACTATGTTGTTCTGGCTGGACTTCGGTTCAAATATTCCTCCCGCCAGAATCTCCACAGGGGGGGCCGAGTGTTCTGGTTCGATGTTTGCCCTTGCAGATCCAGCATCGAGGCTCATTATGGTGTCCTGGCTCGACTTCAGCCGTGGCGGATCCAGAACTCGTGGCAGGGGCGTCGGGTCCTCACCATGCCAGCCGTCCGAGGTCCAGAGCGTGTGGCAGGGCCGGCGGGCTCCGCACCAGGTCCAGCTGCCAGGAGTGGGGCCGCTTGGTCCCTCATGCTCTTCGGAGCGCGTTCACGCCACCATGTCGACATCACGATCGCCACCCCCATGAAAAAGTTCAGCTCCGTAATCGTATCGGCAATGCCCATCTGCCTTCACATCGTAGCTGCTATGAGGGTGCTTTGCTGGGGTGATTGGAGCGGATGTGCGCGGCACCAGTGCGAGAACCACATACTGCCCCCCGACCTTCATCCGTCTAGCTTTTGGAATGGCGATCTTTGGGGCCATGGCAGTCAAAGAATTCGCAGGCAAAGCACAGCCCATGGACAGGTCTCGAGGTGCGACAGGGAGGAGCTATCCAGCTGCCTGCGGCAAATCCTCCCGCAGTGTTGGTCAAACATTTTGGTTGGCGACTTTTCGAGGGAGCATGTGGGGCCGTCATGTGTGTCATCTCGCGTCTGTAGGCTTGGGATAGCTGTTATGGGGACAGGGATTGTGAGGACGGTTTGGGTGATGATGATACTGCTGCTGTTGCTGCTGCTGCTGCTGCGGCTGCTGGTGCTGATGCGGCTGATGGTGATGCTGCTGATGATGATTGTGATGCTGATAGTGATGATGCGGAAACTTATGACGGTGAGGTAGGATGATGCTGCTACTGATGATGAGTGTGGTGATGATGATGGTGCTGCTGCTGATGATGATGATGCTGGGGATGATGATGCCGATGATGACGACGATGATGCTGATGATGAAGATGCGGATGATGATAATGGTGATGATGCTGATGATGATGATGATGATGGCGGTGCTGCGGATGATGATGATGATGATGATGATGATGATGATGATGATGATGATGATGATGATGATGGCGGATGATTGATGATGATGGTGGTGATGATGATGAATATGATGATGCTGCTGCTGATGATGATGATTGTGATGCTGATAATGATGATGAGGTTGATGATGAATACGATGATGATGATAGTGGTGGTGATGGTGGTGATGATGATGACGATGGTGATGATGATTATGATGATGATGATGATGATGATGATGATGATGATGATGATGATGATGATGATGATGATGATGCTGATGATGATGATGATGATGATGATGATGATGATAGTGGTGGTGGTGGTGGTGGTGATGCTGCTGCTGCTGCTGCTGCTGATGATGATGATGATGATGATGATGATGATGATGATGATGATGATGGTGAGGACGGGATGAGGAAGAAGAGGAAGAGGAGGTCGAGAAAGAGGAGGAGGAACACGAGGAGGAGGAAGATGAGGAGAAGGAGGAGGAGGAGGAAGAGGAAGAAGAGGAAGGTCGTCAACTGTGACACCTTCCGTCTTCAATGTTAAAGGAGTTCTCATGGAACTTGTTTTGGCCGCCTTTGGGCTGCCGCGCCCTGAGATCTGACGTTGCAGCAAAAATTGCAGCACCACGAAAAACTGCGACCAGAGCCCTGGGACCCATCTTTCTGCACCATTTTTCGAGCCGCGTCGATCTGTGAGGGTCCCGGGGCCCGGAGCCGGGCGAGAACCCCCGATGTGAAACAGTTGCAGCGCTAGGATCTCAGGGACCGCCACCGCGTGCCCGCTCGCTCGCTCGCCGGCGCCTAGGCGGACCCGCGCGCCGCGCCGCGCCGCGCCGCGCCGCACCGCGCCGCGCCGCGCCGCGCCGCCCGATGCTGCGGCCCTCCGCCCCGGCTGGGCCCCCGCTCGGGGGCCGGGCCCGCGCGGAGCCCGAGCCGGCCCGCGTCGGCGTGGAGGCGAGCTGCCACGGCAGCCCCGCGCGCGGCGCGGGCGAGCTGCCGCGGCCCCACACCCGGAGCTCCAACGCCTGGAGAGGAGAGCGGCCCTGAGGCCCAGACCCCCGCGCGCCGGGGAGGAGTCGGGGCGCACGGATTGTGCAGTTTCCGGCCTGCTGGGGGCCCCCGCCGGGCCTCCGGCCCGTCAAACACCGGCTCAGGACGAAGACCTGGTCCCGGGGATTGGGTCAAGTCCTCCAGGGTTCGACCGTGTGAGCAAGATGTGACTTCGGGGGTCTGGGCCAGTCTGGGTCTTGAGAACAACCACGCAAGTGAGCACTCCATTTAGCAACAGTGAGCACGCATGGAGGTGGGGCTCTCTTGCGCTGATGAAAAAAAGTCTGGGTCTTGAGAAGGCCAATCCTTGAGATCCTGGCGCTGCCCCATTTTTCGCACCCGGCGGTTCCGCCCGGTGTGGGGCCCCGTGGCCCTCGCAGATCGATCTGGCCCGAGAGGTGCTGCAGAAAGATGGGGTCTATGGGCTCCAGCCTTGACGTTCTTCAGGAGGGGAAAAAACACACAGACACAATTAATCGTCGATTCCCCAGAAGATATGGGAAAATATGGGCGGTGGGGGGGAAGACAGAAACCCAGAAAATATGGAGAAATATAGGGAATCCTTCTATTTGTATGTATTTATTTGTGTGTCCCAGGGCCCCTTTAGTTCTGCGCTGTTGCAATTTTTTCGCATCATCGGATCTCAGGGACGGCGCAGGTTCTTCCCAGTTTTCGGGCTCTGGGGGCCGCCCTCGAGCTCCCAGGCCGTCCAGAAGCGACTCGGCGTGGAAAACGGGCTCTGCCAGGGACTTCGTATTTATTGGATCCCTGGAAGTCCCTATGCCCTTTACCCAGGGCCGACTTCTAATCCTGAGTCGCCTTCTGACGGTCCCGAGGCCTAGCGATGGACCCCAGAGGTCGAAATCCGAGGAAAACCTCCGTACGTTGGGTTCGCGTCGTGTCGACGGGCGGCGACCCCGCAACTGGCGTTCAACGTTGAACGCCGGCGGCGGCCCAGGATCGGTCGACGTTGAACGATCTGACCTTTCAGAATCGGCCGTTCGCTCAAGGCTGAACCATCCCCGCGGTGTTAGAAACCAGCGCGAAAGTCGGCATGACAAGAACCCGCTGTACCCTGAGATCTGACGTTGCCAGAGGATTGCAACTTCGCACGTCGCGAAAAGTCACGACCAGAGCCCCGGACCCCATCTCTCTGCGCCATTTCTCGAGCCGGAGCGATCTGCGAGGGCCCCTGGGCCCGAAACTGGACGAAAGCGCCCGCTGCGAGAAAGCTGCAGCGCCGCCGAGATCTCAGGCTGCGGCTTTTCTCTCCAGACGTTGGAGCTCCGGGCGAGCTGTCGCCCGCGACGCCCGCGCGTGGGGAGGGCGCTGCCGGCGCCCTGGGCTCGCCCGGCTCGCCTCGCGGCGCGCGGGCGGGGAGCTCGGAGGGCATGGCGCGGGACCCGGCGGCGTTCCTCATGCAGGCCTCGGGGGTTGGCACGCTCGGCGGCGAAGTCCGAAGCCTACGGTCGGACCGGGGTATGAGGTGAAGGTCAGTTCGGGGAGGGTGCCCTAATGTTCTTCGTGTTTGTTGGATGTTTTTTTTTTCGCGCGGAGAGGACAACTCGATGCTGCGATCGCGCGTCGACCATTTCCATCGGCGTCGCGCCCAAGGCGCGCGCGTGCAAACCCTGAACGCCTCGTGGTTCCAGGCAGGCAGCGCGGTCCGGCGGAAGGGGGCGAGGAGGGGAGAAGCAGGCAGACGACGACGAACGCCCGGGCGGGAGGCCAGGGCCGGCGAGGCGGGCGGGCAGGCAGACTAGGGGAGGGTACTCTCGAGTGTTTTTCAAGTTGGCCGTCGGAGGGTCTCATGTTCTTGAAAGATATTCTTCTGTCCTAGGTCTGGCTGCACTCCGGATTGCGTAACAAATCGGCCACGCGCAGAGGGGGGCAGGGGGAGGGGGGAAGGCTTTTTAGCTGGAAGCACCCCTGCGTCTTATAAATGTCAGGCCGACGCCTTCTGAGAAGCAGCCTCCTTCTAAGAAGCCTCCCCCTCCCCCACCCCGTTGTGCGGGCCGCCAAGTCAAGTGTGGTGGTGGGGGGGCACATTTGGGGGGGGTCTGATTTGAGCTGTCTTGGAGGGTTCGGGGGGGGTCCAATCAGAAGGCCGCCCTTTCATGGCTGGCCTGGGGGGCTCTGACATTGCTCGTCTGGGAGGGTTGTGAACCCCCACGATACTATAAAAACCCCAGGCGCCCTCGCCGATCAACGACTCAGGCAACTCCATGGGCGGTGGGGGGCAGAGCGCGGAACTCGTCGAAGACGTGGCGGCGAAGTCCGAGCCCTGCCCCCCCCGCCTCCCCCTCGGCGCAAGAGAGGCCGACGACCTGGTGGGGGCCTGGAGGGTCGGAGCTCTCTGGGCAGGCGCCCCCCTGGCCCCGGGCTCCTCCTCCGCCTCCGCCTCCGCCTCCGCCTCCGCCGCCGCCTCCTCCTCCTCCTCCTCCTCCTCCTCCTCCTCCTCCTCCTCCTCCTCCTCCTCCCCCCGCGGCTCGCGCGCTCCGCGGGGCGTGCAGGCCCCCGTGCCCCCGCCGCGCCCCCTCCGCGGGCGCCGCGCCTGGCCGCCCCCCCTCCTCGGCGGGGCGGCGGACGCACCCCCGCAGTTGGCCGCCCCCGCCGAGCCGCAGCGCGCTGCTCGGCGGCGAGCTTGGGGGGGAGGGGGGGGGGAGGGGGGGGGGGGAGGGAGAGAGGGAGGGAGGGAGGGGGGGAGCGGGGGGAGGGGGGGGGGAGGGAGGGGGAGGGGGGGGGGGGAGGGAGGAGGGAGGGAGGGAGGGAGGGAGGGAGGGAGGGGAGGGAGGGAGGGGGGGGAGGGAGAAGGAGAAGGGCCTTCTCAGAAGGCGGCGGGTCTTCTCTCAGAAGCCCTCCAGCCCTCTGAGCAGTTTGCTGCGTCTTCGGGGAAGGCTCAGAACTTCTTTTTCAGGAGGCCTCGGGCCTTCGAGCCTTCTGAGGAGGCCCGCCCCTTCTCACTTCCCCCCCGCGCTCGCCGCCGAAGCAAGCCGCAGCCTGCCGTATTCGGTCAGGCGCTCGATCAGCGTCCCCGGCGCCCTTCTCAACGCCCTCCCCGATGCCCGTCTCGACGCCCTTCCCAACGCCCAGCCCCGCGCCCACCCCCACTCTGGCACGACGGTCCCCACAAACAACCACTGCTCATCCAAGCACACCCTCCGCCTGCGCCGCCTGGTCGGGGTCGCCGCCGCAGTGCCCGTTATAGCCTCATCGCGGACGGCGCTGCTCTCCTGGCCTCTTGCCCGGCCCGCCTGCTTGCGGCGGGGTCCGCATGGCGGACTCGGGCCAGTTCGGCACACCCCTCACGAGGATCGTGGCCCCGTAGGGAGCTCCACCGAAGGCCCCAGTGGTGGCGTTCGCATGCCTTTTGCTGGCCCCCCCTCCGTCGTCTTACCTTCCTCGCGATACTCGCAGCTGCACATGGTTGGGTCCTTCGTCAGGCTAATTTTTCTGTTGCTGTGTTGTCTTGGGCATGCCATATGTATGTATGTATGCACGTCTGTATGTCTATATGTATGTCTATATGTATGCATGCATGTAAGTATCTATGTATGTGTTTGTTCGTCTGTATGTAGGTATGCATGTATGTATATATGTATGTACGTATACATATATATATATAGATGTCGGCGGTGCCCGGTGCGGAGCGAACCCCCCCCCGGTAATCTTTCCTGGGGGGTTTCGAGCTGGCGCCATTCCCGGTGCGAGCTTGCACGACCCCCCCCGGTAAACACGACCTCCTCTGGTAGGCTGCACGAACCCCCCCGATAAGGACGCAACCCCTCCGTAAGCGGCGCGCTCCCGGCACGCGCGAACCCCAGCCCCGACGCGCGAATCTTACCAGGACAGGACGGAACACGGCGGCGGCATTGCATCCCAGGGCCGTGCCGGAACACGGCGGCACTGCTCTTCTCTACGCGGCCGTGCCGTCGACCCCCCACAGCGGCTCTTGGGAGTTGCGCACAGAGAACACAAGGCGAGCACACGCCACACTTCGACAGGGAGCCATCCTTCCCAACCGCCCCCCTGCCCCCCCCCAGCCCACACCCCACTCCCACCCCCCCGCTCCCACAGGGGGGGGGGAGCCCAGGTAGACGCAGTGCGGCCTGCACGAACCCCCCCGGTAAAGCGACAGGGGAGGACCCAATGCGGCTTGCACGAACCCCCCCGGTAAACCGGCAAGGGGGGGGTGTTCTAAGCCGCTGGCGGCACCCGGTGCGGGCTGCACGAAACCCCCCGGTAGTGCACGAACCCCCCCGGTAGTGCTGGGGGGGGGGGTTCGTGCCACGGCGCACCGCCGACATGTATAGATGTGTGTGCGTGTGTGTGTGCGGTCGTGCATGTATGCATGTATGCAGGCATGTATGTGTGTATGCATGCATGTGTGTATACGTATGCGTGTATTTATGCGCGAACATATGTATATACAATTATGTTTGTAGGTGTATATGCACGCATCCTTGCATGCATGCATGCGTGGATGCATGTGCATACATACATATACGTATGCATGCATGCATGTACGGATGTATGTATGCATGCACGCATGAATGTGTGTATACACATATATGTGCATCTAGTTTTATATGTATGCACATCTGTAGATGTCTGTATGTATGTTTGTATGCATGTCTGCCTGTATGCTTGTAGACATGTATGCATACATATATGCATGCATGTATGTATGTATGCATGTATGTATGCATGTGTAGATGTTTGCATATATATATATATATATAGATGCATGTATCTAATTATGTATGTATGCATGTATGTGTATATATGTGTGTATATATACACATGTACATTTGTATGTGTGTATGCACATGCGCGTATATGTATGTATGTATGCATGCATGTATGGATGTATGCATGTGTGCATGCATGCACGCACGCATGCATGCATGCATGTGTGCATGTAGGCATGTATGTATGTAGGTATGTCTGCATATATGTACGTACGCATATACGTACGCAGGGACGCATCCATGCATGCATGTATGTTTGTTTGTATGTATGTATGCAGGTGTATATATATACTTGTATGTCTGTTTGTGTTTAGGTATGTATGTATGTAGATAGGTATGCATGCATGCGTGCATACATCAGTGTATCCATAGACATGTGTATTTATTCTTGTTTATAGAGAAACACGTGTTTCGACACACACACACATATACATATATTTATATATGTATACATGTGTGTATGTAGGTATGTATGTTTGCTTGTTTGTTTGTTTGTATGTATGTATGTATGTATGCATGTATGTATGCATGTATGTATGTATGTATATATGTATGTCTGTTTGTATGTATGCGTATGTGCATCTACATCGTTTTCCAAAGCATCTAGGGATGAGCACACTTTCGGAGACACCCGAAGGCCCTGGAGCCCTTCCTGCAGCCCTCCGCGGGCGCGGTGCAGGACCAGGTCCGCAGTGCAGCCACAACCGGGGGAGCTGTGGTCCTCCCCTCCCCGCGGGGGACACCGCCGAGGGGTCTCCCAGCTTAGGATGCAACTCCTGGGACGTTCAATTCAGCATCTGCGCTGGTAGTTTGCGTGGTCGAACGCGTGCCCAATCCGGAAGGACTCAGCTCAATCCCGGCTGTGTCCAGTTGAATCCCGGGCTCCTTTCGATTTCATTTTGCGGAATGGCTCCTGAGAGGGCTTAGTGGCTGTTAGTCGTTTTTGCGAAGATCAGGCGATCGCAAGCATGGATCAAGGGGGCATGGATTAGCGACGGGTCCCGTTTCCATGGTAAATCGCGGATATCTGTCGCCGAACGGGGCGGCGCCAGCCGCATTTTGGGGAGGGCACCTCCCCCGATCCATGGATTTGGCGACCGCGCGCCAAATCCATGGATCGCTAATCCATGTTTGCGCGCCCCCGAGAAGACCTCCCAGGAGGTGCCTCCTTAGGGAGGAGCCTGAAGGCGCTCTTTGCCCTCTCTGGGGGTATCTCTGGAGGCCCGTCGTGGCTGCGGGGCCAGGCATGGCCGGGCTCGCCGTCATTCGGCGTCGAGCGAGGGCGGGAAGTGAGGAGGAGGAGGAGGAGGAGGAGGAGGAGGAGGAGGAGGAGGAGGAGGAGGAGGAGGAGGAGGGGGAGGGGTGCCAGGTGGGGGCGGAGGTGCGCTCTCCTCTCGGCGGCGAGCGAGGGTGGAATGTGAGAAGGATAATGCCTTCTCAGAAGGCGGCGGGACTTCTCAGAAGCCCTCGCACCTTCTCAGAAGTTTTCTGTGTCGTCGGGAGAGGCGTCGAAACGTCTCAGAGGGCTGGGGAACTTCCGAGCCTCCTGAGACGGCCTGCCCCTTCTCACTTCCCCCCCGGGCGCGCCGCCTGGTAATCGTTCTTGCGAAGCCCTCCCAGGTCCTGGGGTTGCTCCTTCAGGGGGGAACGCGGTCACGAGTGCGGGAAGTGATTCAGCAGTCCGGACACATCGCCGCGGTTGCCGCGCATCGGGACGACTGCGCTTTGTTGAAATGGTTTGTCCCTTTCAGGGCAGCGCGCCTTCAGAGCAGCTTTGCGCCTCGGACGCCTCCAGCAGGGGTTGCCTCCGAGCCCGATGGGGCGAGGAGCACAGCGCCCCCCAGCTGTGGTCGGTCGGAGGTCCGCAGCCTGGTGTCGAAGACCGTGCAGGTTGCCGAGGCGAGGGCGAGGTCGGGCGCCGAGGGCGAGCGGTCGAGGGCGCTGGAGAGCTTGCGCGCCACGCAGCAGGAGCCCCACCAGGAAGGGGCAAGCAGTGGCACAGAGCAGGGAGGTTCGTAGGGGGGAAATCCGTCCGCCTTTGTCTCTCCTTCGTTTCCCTCCTCCGCCTCCCTCTCCTCCTCCTCCTCCTCCTCCTCCTCCTCCTCCTCCTCCTCCTCCTCCTCATTACCAAACGAACCAAGACCCGGATTCGGTCTACCAGCGTTGCAAACATGGACATCACAATAATGCCGCACACTGGGAAGCTGACATACCTCGGCCAGACGATTACATTCCAAGATGCCGCGGCGACCGAGATCCAACACAGGATCCAAGCTGCGTGGGCATGCTTCACAGTCCGCAGACAAGAACTGACGAGCAAGCACTACCCACTCAAACACAGGCTCAGGCTTTCCCGAGGCACCGTCATTCCCACGATGACATATGGCGCGGAAACGTGGACTTTGACAGAGCCACTCCGACAACAGCTACGCCGCACTCAACGACGGATGGTCTGGGCGATCATCGGAACTCCGAGAAGGCGCGCAAACGTCACCTTACGAACGCACGCCGCACCATCAGCAGACAGCCAAAGCAACCACGTCGCAGACAGCGTCCACCCTGACGACTCCAGCGACCACTTCGCATCCAGCACCCCCCCCTCCCCATCAGAACAGACCAGCTCACAAGATGACAACAGTGACACACGCCAGACCCACGAGCAGACGACAGACAAAGAGGAGCTGTGGTCGGACTTCGTCCGCCAGAGCACACGCCACACCCAGGGCTGAGGAGCTCATGAGCAAGCACGACATCCCCGACGTAGCACAGATACACCGCGAAAAAATCTGGCGTTGGGCCGCATTCGTTTCAAGCCATCCGCAGAACCGATGGACACACGGTGTGTTGAATTGGAACCCCAGCCTCGACGCAAAACAGCAAGGCCACCGGCTGCACGGAGGACAAAAGAAAAGATGGGACGACGACGTGAGGAAGTTTTTGGCATGCCTACACGCGAACACCAGGGACGAAGCCACGGACAGCGACACCAACGACGCCACCCATCCACGACGATATCTCCACTACGACAGTAACGACGTGAGATGGTTGACAGCCGCGACAGACACGACATGGTGGTACTCTCTTGAGAGCGCTATCATTGCATACAACAGCTGAGGGCGCAAACTCCCCGACGCCAGTTGCACCAATATCTGTTCCTACCCTGCAGCGCCGACGCCAAATGACCACCACCACCACCAGCACGACAACACCGAACACACAGGAACACTGACTACACCACCGATGATGATGATATGCCGTGGATGGGGCAATTCTTTTGTCATCAGCTTGTGCCAAAACTGTTATGGTGACCGCTCTGGTCGACACACACACACACACGGAGCCACTGGAATTCCAGAATGAGATTTCCACCCCTGATAATTCCAATCAACCGATTAACATCGACATTCGCACAGCGACGCCGACAGCGACACAGACGGCAACACCAACAGCACCGCAGCAGCGACGCCGGCATACAGCACCGACTATCGACGACCATCAGCAGGACCAGCCATGATACCGACCACACCCACTCGATCCTGACCAGGTTCATGAACATCCTACATCCTCTGTCACGCTTTCTACTTCTTCCGGTTTGTGCACTGGTTCTTGAAGAACTTCGTCCACGACGTCTATTCGGACACGACCTGAGGCCACCGCTTCTTGCGCCCTGCCCAAAAGGGCACGGGCACACCTGTGTGCCCGACTCTGGCGCGCTCGCCTCGCCTCGCCTCGCCTCGCCTCGCCTCGCCTCGCCTCGCCTCGCCTCGCCCCGCCCCGCCCCGCCCCGCCTCGCCTTGCCTCCTCCTCCTCCTCCTCCTCTCCTCCTCCTTCTCCTCCTCCTCCTCCTCCCCCCTCGGTTCTTTCCGTCCGTCTTCGCCCCTCTTCCTTAGTCGTGCCAGCAATCTGCAGCATGTCGTCCATGACAGGTGCTAGCATGTCTAGCCGGGTCGCTTTGACTGGCCAACGCCATTTTGCGATCCATCCTGGAGGTGTCAACTGCTTGTGTGGTTTCGACGAAGAATCAGCTTTTGGATGCTTTCGTCTGTTACCGGCGGTATCCGATTGGGATTTTCATATTTTCGGGAGGCCCCCGATGATTTCGGGGTCGAGGTTCGGGGCCAAGGCCGAAAAGTCGAGGTTCGAGGCTTTCGGGTGTTATTCTTTGTTCTCGGCGGTTTTGTAGACTCGTGATGTCCAGCAGCTGCGCCTCGCCGAGAGCGTTTCGGGGGTGGTCCCGAACGGCCGCCGGAGAGCCGAATCATGACCCGAAAGCCAGGGGGCCACCATCGAATAATCACAGTACTAGTAATCGTACTGGTAATAGCAAGACGGGTCATAGTATTGATAATGGCAGTCAGACTTAATAATAACAGCCACAGCAATAACCAAACTAGTACCTTCCCGAATAAGCATACGAATGCTAGTATTAGTGTCATTGACAGCGACGCGAAACATATTATGAGTGCTATCGTTCATCGCAGCAACATCTACTCAGCGTAGCAAGACGAAGGAAAGCCGTGCCGCGCCGCCAATTGGGGCTCACCGCGCTTCGGCGCGAAACGCCAGTCGCGTCCCATGTCCCCAGGCGTCGACGTCCCGAGCCTTTCCCGGCTTCCCGCCTCGCGGAGCGGTGTGCACGCTATCAGCTTGCAGGGCGCAGCGTGTAGTCGGGGCCGCTGCCGCGACACGCCAAGCACAAGCTTCTGACCAGAAACCTTCGGAGGCCCTCGCGGAGGAGGAGGAGGAGGAGGAGGAGGAGGGGGATGATGATGATGATGATGATGATGATGATGATGATGATGATGATGATGGTGGTGGTGGTGGTGGTGGTGATGATGATGATGATGATGATGAGGAGGAGGAGGAGGAGGAGGAGGAGGAGGATGATGAGGAGGAGGAGGAGGAGATCTTGGATCCGCGACGGGCCCCCTTGCCGGCGCACCTGGCTCGCCTGTGGCGCCAGGAGGGGGGGGGGCTGGCGCCCATCGCAGAGATCCGCGCGGCGCTCCGAAGGTTCGTGCCTTGCCCTTGCCGCTCTCAGGGAGGGGGCAGAGTCCGAAAGCGTCAGCTCCTCCTCCTCCTCCTTCTCAGATCTCCGCCGAGGTGATTTGTTTCAATCCTGGTGCTTCTCCTCGATGCCGGCCCGTCAGCGTGCTCCGAAGATTTTGCGCCCCTCCCCCGAGGAGCTGCAGGCCATGCAGCTGGAGCTGCAGGCCACCGAGCGCAACCGCGCGGAGCTGGCCGTCCTGCTGGAGGCGACCATCGCCGCCTCGCCTGCCGCCCATGGCAGGGCGGCGCAGCTGGAGCGCAGCCACTGGGCGGCCGTGAGGATCCAGGCACAGTGGCGGAGGTGCCGCGCGCGGCGGCGGCGCGGCCTGTGGTGCCGGGCGCACGACCCCTACGACGCGATCGTCTGCTTCGACTCGCTGTCGTCCACGATAGACGCGGACAGCCTCAAGATCAGCATCTTGAGGTGGGCGCATTCTGCTTTTGAGATCGGTCAGGCCCAGATGGAGGGAGTTCGCATCGTGGCGCACATGGGCTTGTTCGACAAGGGGAAGACGTTCTTGATCAACCAGCTGTATGGCAAGAACCTGCCGTCCGGAAAGCTGCACGAGACCTCAGGCCTTAGTATAGTGTACGTTCCGCAGCTGCGGTTCCTGGTCATCGACACCAAGGGTCTGCAGGCCCCGGTGTCGTACAAGAAGAGGGGCGTCGAGCAGCTGGTGGATGCGAGCCAGACAGAAGTGTTCTTGTTTGAGCTGGTGTCGCGAATCGCCCACTACATTGTCTTCGTTGTGAATGACTTCACCTGGCCCGAGCAGAGGCACGTGGTGCAGCTGCACCAGAAGTACGTGCAGAGCAAGCGGGAGAACCAGCTCATCGTGCTGCATAACCTGCGCACCACGAGGAGCGTCCGCGAGGCGACCGAGCTGTTCTGCAAGCAGGTCGCCTCCAAGTACGAGGGCGTGGACAGGGGCGAGCTGGGAGGCCTGATCTTCACTGTGGACGAGTCTCCCCGCATCCACCACATCGGGCTCGCGGAGCAGGGATCCCCCGCGGGCATCAAGTTCAACCAGAAGAACAGGGCCCATCTGCTGCAGCTCCTGGATCAGCTGGAGGGCATTGGCGAGCGCTCCAGGTCCTTCGCCAGCCTTCTCCAGGAGAACTTCGCCCAGCTGCTCCCCGAGTTCATATACCTCGAGTCCTCCACCGGCGAGCGGCAGGACGGCTCTGGGCTGGCGGTGCTGTGCCAGCTGGAGCCCCCCTCGGCCGCCGCGTGCGGCGCCGGCGACCTGGAGCCCGACGAGGAGCGCGACCCGACGGTGTACAGGTCGGCGGGCGTGCTGAAGTTGCAGATCCCGGACAACAGCGTCGCCCACATGAAGACCGAGGGGGTGTTCTCGGAGTTCTGCGAGCTGGTCGCGCAGGACGTCACCTTCAAGCCGCCCCCGCCCAACTTCTACGAGCAGCGCCTCAAGGACAAGCTGGTCCGGGTGGTCGAGTTCGAGGTTCGAGCGAACAAAAAGAAGGCATTTACATAAACTTTCGACGGTCCGCGCGGATTTCTTGGATCTGAGCTGGGCCCCCCTGGCGGCGCCTCTGGCGCCGCCCCTGGCGCGCTTCTGCGCGCCAGGGAGGGGTTTCCAGTGCCGACCCAAGAGATCCGCACGGCGCTCCGAAAGTTTGCGTTTGTTTGTGCAGTTTTTTCATCCTGCAGAGGTGCCTGGGGTCTGGAGGAAGGACATCAAATTCCGCAAGGGCAACCGCGGCTACTCTGTGAGCATGGTCAGGGCCAAGGACGAGTCGCTCGGCCGCTTCGGCGTGTGCAGCAGGTTCCCAGCGCCGCGCATCCCGACTGGCGAGTTCGTCTTCGACCTGTTCTTCGACGACGGCATCTGGGACCTCGACGGCGGCCGAGAGGGCGTTACACACGAGAACGGGATGCTGCGCATCCAGCTGAAGCAGGACCTGCAGGGCGAGATCTTCTCTTTGGACGACCTCTGAGATGACATGCCCTTCCCTGGCGACCTTGGCGCGTGGATTTCGAGCAGCCGTGACCGCGGCCGCGCCCACGCAGTGCGATTTGCATTCTCCGAGTGGGGCGTCAGGTCCAGGTCTCCGCGCCGTCCTGGAGGGAAGCGCGGGTCAGAGGTGGTGGTCAGGGGCAGCGTTAGGGGGGGAGGGGGATGCATCGAGCCCCAATCAGTCGCTGATCGCCGATAGGGGCCCTACAGCGCACTCTGCCCAGAAACGTGCGGATTCGCTATCAGGGGCCTATCGCCGTTCTATCGGCGACGCCTCGCCGATTTCAGGACCCCCCCCTCAGACAGCCCCCCCCCTACCTTACCCCCTCAGATGGGGGGAGGGATGAGATGTTTGCATGGCCATGTTGATAGCCTCTGGATTGCCCTGTCTAGTTCTTTTTGGGTGGCTAGGTGGCGATTAGCGTTTGAAATTGGGGACCGTCAGCTGTCTTTGCTAGCAGCTGTTGCTCCCTCTCTCCCTCCTCCGCCTACTCCCTTTATCCTCCTCTCCGCTCTGTGCGCTGTGGTGTAAGCGGGTGCCCATGTCGAGATTCTCTGGATCCGCAGTGGCTCAGATGCCTTCGATCCTTTATCTTCTGCCCGCCGTTGCAAAGGGGCAGTGATCGCTTATACAATACATTTCTCGCAGGACGGCCCGTCTCGCGGCTGGGCACTTCACACCATTCGTGCGCATGGCATTCCATGTAGCTCTGTTGCTTCACGAATCGGACGCCGAGAACATGATCGTGCTGTGTCCGCTCCCCCTAACAACTTCTTCGTGATCCCTCTCTTCACCTCGTCCTCCCGGTATTAATCCATCTGCTCCCCAGAGCCGGCTCTCAGCATCATTCTGGACTCCTGATTCCAGATTCCGGATTCGCAGCATTCCGGATTCCAGATTCCAGATTCCGGATTCTCGATTTGGGATTCCGGATTTTCTCCGGATTTTCGGATTCCGCATTCCGGGTTCCGGATTCCAGATTGGGTTTCCCTCTTGCCATGCATGAGGCTGATTCTGGATTCTGGATTTTGGACTCCGGATTCCGGGTTCCAGATTCGGGAATCCGAGTTCGGATTCTTTTTTCATTCGGAATTTGGAATTCGGAATTCGGAATTGCGCCTCCTGGATGCCGGATTCTGGATTCCAGATTCTGGATTTGACCTCCTCCTTCTCCTCCCTCTTCTCATCAGCCCTTCCTTGCTCTCATGAGCCTCCTGCTCCCCAGCGCCGGGTCTCAGCATTACTCTGGCTCCCGAATTCCAGATTCCGAGTTCGCACCATTCCGGATTCCAGATTTCGGATTCGCAGCATATTCTGGATTCGAGATTCCGACGCCTGGAGTCCGGATTTCAGAATTCCCGTCTTGTTCTTCGAGCTTGCGAGCCTCGAGCCCTCGTTCCCTCGATTCTTCGATCCTTCATCCCTCGAGCCCTCGATCATCAATTTTTCGATCGCTCGATCCTTCGTTCCTTGAACCCTTGATCGGTCGGTTCTCGATTCATCGATCCTGTATCCCTCCATCCCTTGCTCCTGGAGCCTTCGATTCTCGAGTTTCCTTTTTGTGGACCCCTTGATCTTTCCATCGTCGATTATCCGCATCGCGACTTGAGTGAATCATTGCCTGAATGCCCGCACATGTCCTCCGACATATTTCCTGATGCGATGACTGTACACATGTCTCCCGAAATTCTGCCCGAGGGCAAGGCGTTTGGAAGGTCTTGCGACCGATGCCGCCGACCCTGAATGGGGTACGACGATCACGAGGGCGGCGTCGGCGACGACGACGACGACGTGGGGCAGAGCCCTCAGGGATGCTTGGTTTAGGGTGGGCCTCTTCGGAACGCGCTCGTAGGCCTCTGGGGGGCAGTATCTTGGGGACCACTTGGGGGCCTCTCGAGGATCCCTTCGGGCTTCTTGGGGTCCTCTTGGGGCCTCGGCACGGTATCTTGGCGGCCTCTTGGGGCCCCCTTAGGGGTTTTTCGGGGCTGAGGGTTTGAAGTGCTCGTTCAGGCTCCCGTGTGGGCACCTCTTTCGAGCCGCTTTGGAGGCCGAAGGGGCGGAGGGGAAGGGGGAGGAGACGAACATAGTTTCTGCCTGCGCGACCGAAGCGGGGTCGCAAGACTGGAGAAGGCGGTGAAACTCAGCGAGGCAGCGTCGGTCAATTCAATTGCACAAGTGCGCGAAACCGACCTTAGGAATGACAGTGATGCGTGCAATATGCTGTGTGCCAAAATTGCCGAACATCATAACAGAAACGTCGCTACGTCTGCAATGGGCCCCTCTTCGGGGCTCGCTGGCGCGGGACATCTGAGTCGGGCTTCATATAATCTCGTGCAAAGCGCTGCCGGTTATCTCCTGGCTGGCGCAGTGTCCAATTGTTCTTCAAACGAAAAACTGACGACCACCATACCCAATAGCGCCCTGCCGTCATCTCCGGCGCCGGAGGCGTCAGGTCGTTCGCAAAGTCGTTAAATTGTTCCACGCTTGCGCGTCCACGCCGACTGTGAAACGACTGGCTTCATCCCTGCGGCAGTCCACTTCAGAAAAGTTCGTGAGGCACCATTTGTGGTTGTCCCAATGCAGCTGGCCCAGCAGTATGGCCAGACACGCAAATATTTCGGTCAATGGTGGGTAGCATGCGCGTTTCGACCTGGCCATTGCCAATCGTTTGCACGCACTGTCGTAAACTATGGCCTGGGGGTGATGGCCGCTAGCTGTCAGCTTACCGACTAAACGCGACAGCATCGCGTACACCAGCTGAAGCGATTCCCTACGAAGGAGCTCCCAAGAACTGAGCGCTTGACCACATTGTAGGACGAATGTCTGAATGCCTCCCTTCTCCCTCCGAGCAGTGTAGCTCTTTGTCTCTTCACCGACTGGGCAGTCCTCGGCTGCCGCCGAGTCTTCACTCGTCCGACCACTTCTCTGAGCCCCCCCCGGGGTGCACCCCCGCCTGCTCGCAGCAGTCGCGTGCTGCCCTTGCTTCTGCCGCCCCTTGGCGATTTGCTTTCGGATCCGAATGCTTGTCGGGGCCGCCTGCGGAGTCACTGGCACTGCCGCAGGTCCCGCAGACTCATCGGGTGGCGCTGGAACAGCTGCTGGGCGCCCGTCGTCACATGCACCAGAGTTGTACGGAGATCCGCTGTGGTTTACATGGCGTGTGAGATCTGCTACTGTTTTTTCCCCACATCCAAAGTGGGGTCCTGGATTTCTCGGCACACACCCCGCGTAGGATCTCTTCCTGTTCCTCCTCCTCCTCCTCCTTTCCTCTCTCTCTCTCTCTCTCTCTTCCTGACTCACGCGCCCACGCACCCACGCACTCATCATCATCATCACCATCATCATCATCATCGTCATCATCATCGTCATCGTCATCGTCATCGTCATCGTCATCGTCATCGTCAGTATCATCATCACCACCATCACCATCATCATCGACAACATCATGATCATCGCCGTCATCAGCATCGTCATGACCATTATCACCACCATCGTCATTTGCACCATCAACATCAGCACCATCATCACCACCATCATTATAATCAGCCTAATCCTTGTCCTCATCATCATCACAGTCCCCCACATGGACACCCCGCGCAAGCGCGCACCCAGCCACGCGTACACACCTCATCATCACCATGACCGTCATCGTCATCATCATGCACCCATTCACACTCACTCTACCAGGCATAGCACTTGAACCACCCAAGAGGGCAAATCGTGAGGGTGTCTCGAGCGAGGTCTCGTCTGTGAGCGAATTGCGAGACAGTCTCAGGCGGGAGCCTCCTTCTTATGGGGCCCGCATTTCAAGTTGGTAATCCGAGCGGGTCATCGGACAAGTCCACCAGGCATAGCACTTGAGCACCCTAAGGGGGGCAAATCGTGAGGACGTTTCGAGCTGGGGCCCCGTCCGTGAGTGAATTGCGAGGAAGTCTCGGGCGGGAGCTCCTTCCCTATGGGGCCCGCGCTTCACGTTCGGTAATTCGAGCGGGTGGCCCAGCAGGCCCCAGGAGGCCCTAGGAGGCTCCAGGTTGCAGCGGGAGGCTTCAGGAGGAGGCCCAAGGACGAGGCCGTGGCACTAGGAAAAGGAGGCCAGGCTCCAGGAGCCCTCAGAGGCTCCAGTAGGCAACGTGAGGTCCCAGGAGGCCCGAGAGGCAGGACGAGGCTCCCAAAAGAGCGCCAAAAGGACCCCGACGGGTGCCACGACGCCCCAAGACGCCCCCGAGGCGGCCTCGGAGGCCTCCAGGCCCCCAAATGGCCCCAAAAGTTTCCCAGGTGTCCCGCAGGCGCCCTTCGGGAGACTTTAGACGCCCCAAACGAAGCGGCCCCCAGAGGACATCAGACGCCCCCAACAGGCTCCCAGGAGGCTCCAGGAGGCCCGCCAGCCCCCGTCTCCGCGTGCTCGGGAAGCGTCTCTCCGAAGAACGTACAATTTTTCCTGTGCGCTTGGCCCCGTGTGCCCGTGTACAGGACGTCGTCGGTTCGACCACCTCTGGGGCGTTCTCATTTCAAACGCGCTGTGGCACGGCGACTTGCCCTAGCACCCGCCTCTTCAATTCATTACCTTCTTATCTCGGGTCCGCCACCTTCGATCGAGGGTGCAGGTTTCAGGCTACATTTCGTGGGTGCTTGTCGGAGTGTCTTTGTATGTCCTTGGGAACTTTCTAGCCTTTTGCGTCCGCGGGGGAGCCTTGTGGCGGTCCAGGGCCTTCTTGGGACGTTTTCGGTGCCTGAGAAGAAGCTTCTTCGGGCAACTGAGGTCCCGCGTGGGTTTCCTTCTGGGGCCCTGGTGGTGGCGCTTTCCCGCTCTCTTCGGCCACTCTTTGAAGCACGGGTCCGCCTGGTCCAGATCGGCCGATTCAGTTGGGTCGGCGACGTTCGCATGACGCCCCGTATCACCTTCCGGTGGCCGGTTCAGTTCGCCTGGGCGAGTTGTGCACTCCATTCTCCACTTGCGAGCTAATCGCGGCACCGTGAAACAGAGCTCTTCTTTGCAACCCTCACCACGGCGAGAAAGCGCGTCCGTCTGCCCACTGCGGCTCCCGGTGCAGATGACCGTGGTCGGTCACATTCGTTGCTCTCATGCAAGAGCGATCCCAGGTTCCACTCCGTGCGTCGCCACTGGCTAGGACCCCATCTAGAAGAGAAGCGCGCGCGCCACGGTTCTAGTGTGTGTGTGTAGTGTGTGTGTATATATATATACAGAAACGAAAAGAAGAGGGAGAGAGAGAGAGAGAGAGAGAGCGAGAGCGAGAGGGATAGAGAGAGGGGAAATGTTATACATATATATGTATATATACAGAGAGAGAGAGATCCAGAGAGAGAGAGAGAGAGAGAGAGCAAGAGAAAGAGAGAGAGAGAGAGCGAGCGAGAGAGAGAGAGAGAGAGAGAGCTGCGAGAACCTTCAAGGCCGGAGGAAGCCTCCGGCGAAACGCTCAGACCGCCCTACGAACACACCTAGAGTTGCGAGTAGCAGGAGGAGGAGTAGGAGGAGGGGGAGGAGAAGACAACACTTCTATGGAGGAGGATGAGGAAAATAGAGCAGGAGGAGGAGGGAGGGAGAAGGAAAGGGGAGGGTTGGAGGGAGGAGTACGAGGAAAAGGATGATGATGTTGATGATTATCAGATGAGGATGACGATGATGACGACGATTGTGGAGATGATGGTGATGCTGCTGCTGATTACGATTCTGATTGTGAATATGGTGCTGATTATGAGTATGCTGATGATGGTTATGATGGTGATGATGATTTAGATGATGATGATGATGCTGCTGCTGATGATGATG